TGTCGGGCCGCAGCCCCCGCCCTGCGGGGAGAGGCGGAGGGAGCTGGGCCTGTAGCGGGAGGACGAGGGACAGCGGGCCTGCGCTGAAGCGGGGGCGGTTCTGGCCCGACGTGAGGAAAACCTTTCCCCGTGAGGCTTGTGGGGGCAGGGCAGGGGCTGCCCTGAGCCCCTGGTCCGGCCTCGGAGCCGGCCCTGCGCGGAGGGGTGGGCTGGAGACCTCCCTTCCAGCCTGAACGACCCGTACTGCGAGGAGTGAAAACTACTACAACGGGGGGGTTACGAAGGACAGCGGGGCGCCCGGCGCTCGTAGCTGGTGGCGGCGAAAGGCTTGCTCCTGACGCTGTGCGAGTGAGGGGCTTCTTGCGGAAAGCTTTACCAAAACGGCAGTCCGGTGTAAGGTCTAATGCTTTGCTGCATGGCCGGTGAGAAATAGCTGAGTTACTTACACGCAAACACTGTTTGTTTTTCCAGATGCTAAAAGAGCGTTAATTATTCATGATTGGTGACATCGTAGAAACTAAACGATGCCAACTAAAAGATCCCATGGATTTGTTTCATTCTGGGCAAGCTGTAAAAATATGTGCCCCTATGGTCCGCTACTCAAAGTAAGTAACTGTCATGTCAACTCTGTTTTCAGTGTATTTTCTCTGAGGAAGTTTATCTTGACTGTAAAACCAGGGATGATTACCTTTCTCTCCTTTAATTATTTAAGACAGCAGTAGACATGGGACATGTTTTATCTCATGATTATACTTGGACATCCCCACAGTATTACTGCATGTCAGAACAACATTTTAGAATAGCTAATCAGAAAAATGTCTTTCCTATTTATCTCTTGATTTTCATTGTCTGCAGGTTGGCTTTCAGAACCTTGGTTAGGAAATACAGTTGCGATTTGTGTTACACACCAATGATAGTAGCAGCTGATTTTGTGAGATCTGCAAAAGCTAGAGACAGCGAATTCACAACAAACAAAGGTATTCTTTTTAAGAAACCATTGCCTTGTCAGAATGTTTTATGTGGTGATAAACCAAATTGGCCAAGTGAATAAAGTCTGTCACACAACTTCACATCCATTAACAATTTTGGTATACCGTATCTGATTGATTGTAAAACTATAGAAATATTCTAGGTGAGAGTAAGCACATTCCAGTGATAGTGTGTCAAATGAAATAGTGGAAAACCTTGTCTCCACCTGAAATCAGGGCCTCCAAACCACTTTAGATGTGTGGCGGGTTGAACATAGCTGGCCAGTGGCTATGCACCCACACAGCTGCTCAGTCATCCCTCCTCCACCCTCCCAACAGCACAGGAAGAGAACAGGAAGAGCAAAAGCAAGAAAAACTCATGGGTCAAGATAAAGACAACTTAATAAGTGAAGGAAAGAAGGAGAAAAAAAAACAAGTGATGTAAAGGAAATCACTTCCCACCTCACACCAGCAGACCAGTGCCCAGCCAGTCTCCAAGCAATGGCCACCCTGGAACACAATTTCCATGTCCCAATGCACTTTCTTCTTCCCCTACCACTCCAGTTTCATTGCTAATGTTGATGTTGTACGGTATGGAATATTTCTTGGGCCAATTTGGGTCAGCTGTCCCAGCTGTGTCCACTCCCAATTTCTTCCCCACCCCAATCTATTGGCTGGGGGCAGGGGGAGGCAGAGTGAGAAAAAGAGAAAGTTTTGACACTGTGCAAGTACTGTGCAAAAATAGCCAAAACACTGGTGCCTTATCAACGCTGTTTTTGTCACAAAATCCAAAACACAGCACCTTACAGGCTGCTATAAATAAATAAAATTTAACCCCATCCCAGCCAGACCCAGTACGAGATGGTAGTAGGATTCTTTTCCCAGCAATTGCTGCTTTTTGTGTGTTTCAGAGAAAAACACTTAACTCATTGCTGGGAAAAATTTTCTGGTGTCTAGCAAAAATAAGAGGGTTGCTAAAGGTGAAAAAATTAATAGACCAGACATTGTTACAGTGGATACAGCAGGGTTTCAAATTAGCTGGAGTGGGAAGTGGAAGGGGCTGTTGGTGGACTACTTGAGATATCGAGAGAGTGATAAAAAGGAGCAAGAAGGCAAGAAGAGACCAGGAAGTTGAAGCATGGCTAGGGTTGATGAGGAGAAGCAAGGCTTCAGGCATGGTACAGAAACATAACCAGAACACATACAAAAAGAAGTATAAGGAGTTGTGCAGAGTCCTGGCTGTAAAGCAAAAGAGAAAAGTGGTATGAAATACGTGGGAAGAAGTGACAATAATGATGCAGATCTGCTGGCATGAAGTGGCTGCAGTAGAAGAGTGTAACAAGGAACATGCATAGGCTGCAACTGGAGGAATGAAGAGAGCGCTATGAACGTGCTAGTAAGTTCAGCGTTGTAGGATCCATGAAGTGTGATGATTTAATCTATTCAGACCACTGAACTGGTCGTTTCATAAGTCTATATATAGTATCAGAGGAAGTATATTTCATTATTTTAGCACTGGCTGTCTATTAATGCTGCATTATTCAAATAGAACAGAGCAGTTACAGAGAAAAGTCACATTGGGAAGCACAGGTAGACTCTCTTATTAGTGGAATTCAACTTTAAAAAAGCATGAATAATTCTTTGTATGTAAAAATAAATGAGTAAGAACATAACTGACAATATATATGGCTCAAAGGTCCACAGAACCACTAGTTTGTTCCCTTTCAACTTACTTAGACTTCTGATCTACACAATGTCCTGTGGCATTGAAGTTCCACAGGTCAGATATGTAGTATATTCTGGGAGGTGCAGGGATGGGGAAAGAGGAAATTCTCTTTGCTGTAACTTTGCTGCCTGATAACAAGATGTACAAAATTAAATGTTCTAGTGTTGTAAACAACATCTTTTCCCTATTCACGTCTTTCATACTGGCCTTAATTTTATAGGCCTCTGAAACATTCTGCCACAGACAGCTTTGCCAAGATTATACTATTTACATTATTAGCATTTATGCTTTTAACAAGTAGCTCCACAACAGGTTGTGAAATTTTACTGTGGTTTTATGTTTAACTTCCTGGCTGTTTGGGGATTTTGTCTTCTAATTAGCGGAGTAGGTTTGGAGCCTACAATTGCAATTTCTGTTTTCCATTTTCTTTGGCATTGACATTTCTTTGTTGTTTATTTCTAAAATAGAGATAGATGTTCTTTGTGGCTGCTGCTAAAAGGTTTAATATGGCAAGACTCAGTATTTTTATTACTTAACACTCAACCAAAAATTAGGAGCGTGGGATTATTCCGAAGTATTAGCTGCAGTAATATAAATCTCTTCAGCTAGAGCACTGTCTTAAATGGACGCTATTTGGAAAATATGCAAGGGATTTTTTTTTGCTTGCTGGATTTTTAGGTAACCTCTAGAAGTGTCTCAACTTGATTGAGACGGTACTGCTGCCCTCTCTGACTTAAGCTCCAGTACTTCAAGAACTACTTATTTTCCACTAAAATAGAAAAATCTTCAGAAGCATTTGTGGTCTTTTCAGTACCAGAAGTGCACTTGCTTTGTGCATTTGTTGGATCATCCCTTTCCATCAGTGCTCAGATATCCCCCTTCCTCTTAACTGCAGCAATTGTTTATATGGAAAGTGAGTGCTAAGACTGTCTGAGGTATTTTTAGATGCCTTTAATGTAATGCAGTAGCTGTAAAAGAGGAGAGCATGTTCCAAATGACCATCTGGCTCTCTGCAGGGGCTTAGTAAATCACAAGTAGTTCAGCAGACCCAAGTTGAGGTACACTGACACTTTGGTTTCCCACTTGAGACAAAGCTGCTAAAGCTGCTTCTGCCCATGTGTTTTCATTCCAACTCTGCATATTGCATTGTTGATAAAAACCAGCCATGTTAGCACAGAAGAGGAAAAAGATGGGCTGGGATAAGGAAGGGCAATGCTTGTGGGTTGTTTAGCTCCTTTCTGAAGGGTTGGTTCCGTAAGCAATTTTCCCACCTGGCAAGACAGACAGCTGTGTCAGCACAGCAAAGGGACAGCATGCAGACAAGAAGGGGCAGGCTAGGAGGGGAAGCATGAAGGCTGCTGAGAAATAAGGAGTACTTAGTTTCATATATCATCTTTGTGAAGGATAAGCATCTGACCAATTTCGGTCCGAAAAAGTGTATGTCGAGCCAGCAACCACCTAAGACACATATGAATGTCTGAATTCCCATCTCTCTTGGTAGACGTACTTATTTAGTAACCACTGGTCAGCTACCTTTACACGTGATCTAGGGCTTGCAGAACCACAAAATATTTGAGTTTGGAAGCACCTCTGTAGGTCATGTTATCTAGCCCCCCTGCTCAAGCAGGGTCACCTAGAGCCATTTGCCCAGAACCATGGCTAGACAGCTTTTCAATATATGAAAAACGTTCAAAATTTAGAATGTCTTCTTTTTATATGCTGGGTTTTTTTTAAATCTCTAAATATCTTTTTGTTGGAGTAGGTGATCATCCATTGATTGTTCAATTTGCTGCTAAAGAAGCACAGGTTTTGTGTGATGCTGCCCGTATCGTCTGTCCTTTTGCAGATGGCATAGACCTAAACTGTGGCTGTCCTCAGAGGTAAAGTTTTGAAAAAGCTGGTGAAATAATGATGAAATAGTTTGGAATAAAGAATGCTGGTCTTCATTTTCATAGTATTTTTTGTCTTAACTTAAAAATAGACTTCGAGAGAGAAACAGCTTTTTAACCTGCCAGAAATGTCTTATGTGGCAAGACACTGTTCTGAATGTTCTGAGATGCCTGTCACCATGGTGAAACTGGGAAAACCAGGTGTATTTGCCAACTTGCCTTTTTTCCTTTCTGAGATATTGAGTGTTGGCTCAGAAGTGAAGTGTCCATCCCTTCTCAACAGCTGTTCAATATGCATTACCAAAAAGAGCTTGCTGCAAATACTTTGGAGAGTGTTTTGAGAAATGATGTGGCAATTCCCAAAATAAAGAGGCAAATCCCTGATGTCTGAGACTTCTGCAAGTGAAGGGTAGTCTTTAAAATATAATTATACAGATTATATTAATCAGGAAGTGCTGAGAAGAATTTCTTCCATCTTTTATTAGGTTTATAAGTACAGTGAATTAGTGATCTACTTCTCACTTAAATTGATAAAGATTTTGTCTTGACAGTGACACAGAGTAGTAATGCACAAATGAAGATTCTTGCTAACTGGTTCAATTGAGAGCCATTTACTACATGCTTGTCAGGCAGTCTTTTTCTAAGTGAAGACCTCAGAAATAAATGTAGGAAAGCAAAAGAAAATATTAAGGTGCAAATACTTAATTTATCTATTCTAATTAGGTTGTCTTGACTTAAAATATAGTATTTGAGAAAACTTTTCTGGAGAGATCTGAGGCTTCAAAATGGAAGTGTGGGGTTTTTTCTACGCTAACTACAGTTAAGTATGCCAAAGTGTAAGTTCCTTTTAGGCGAAAAATATATGCTTACATTTGAATTCTTTGTTTCTTGTGCATGCTGGTTTCAAAACAACAAAACTTTGTGCATTTAATCTGCCTTTATAAGAAAAATTACTTAAGAAAAAATCTGCTGCTCTTAAGTGGAAGCAAAGGTTATTTCCTGCCAATCAAAATAAAGTGTTTTGCAGTTGAGGGAAAACAGAATATTACTGAAATCATATCCTTACTTGCACTTCAAAAATCTTCCTTTTCAATCCAAAGTAATCTTCTGTTTAGAAGAAATCATAGACCCAATGGAAGGAGAAACATCAAATTATTTATTTTACTTATGATCTAAACCATTGTTGATTAAATGTTAATTTATCTTCCCTGTGAGTCCATTTTGTGGACAGAAAATTGAACTGGAAGAGATAGTAATTCATCCAAAGTTCTAACAGCACAATGGAGACAACCAGGATCTAAAGGTTGGTGTCAAACTGCAAACAAATCATCGATCTACAGCCAGTACTATCTCTGTTTACTCAACCACACATTCTAAAGGTCGTAAGGAAAGAAACTGCTGTATTTGACTGAAATTGATCTGCATTTTTTCAAATGTAGAATACAAACATTCTTTTTCTTTTAAAGATGGGCGATGGCAGAAGGTTATGGTGCTTGCTTAATAAATAAACCAGAACTAGTTCGAGATATGGTGAGACATGTACGGAATCAGATCGACAACCCTAGATTTTCAGTATCTATTAAAATAAGGTAGGTCTAACTTAAGTGCTGTTTGTGGTACATGGAAGAACCCTTTTAATGTTAGTGTAGTAGTTACACTGTATTTTAATGTATGTATATCCTGGTTTTGGCTGAGATAGAGTTAATTTTCGTTCTAGTAGCTGGTATAGTGTTATGTCTTGGATTCGGTATGAGAAGAATGTTGATAACACACTGATGTTTTCAGTTGTTGCTAAGTAGTGTTTATATTAAGTCAGGGATTTTTCAGCTTCTCATGCCCAGCCAGCAAGAAGGCTGGAGGGGCACAAGAAGTTGGGAGGGGACACAGCCAGGGCAGCTGACACAAACTGGCCAAAGGGATATTCCATACAACGTGATGTCATGCCCAGTATATAAACTGGGCTGAGTTGGCTGGGGCAGGGGCAAGGGGATCGCTGCTCGGGAACTGACTGGGCATCAGTTGGTGAGTGGTGAGCAATTGCATTGTGCATCACTTGTTTTGTATATTCCAATTCTTTTATTATTATTATTTTACTCCTTTCTGACCTATTAACTGTCTTTGCCTCAACTCAAGAGTTTTACTTTTTTTTCTGATTCTCTGCCCCATCCCACTGGGTTGGGGGGGAAGTGAGTGAGCGGCTGCGTGGTGCTTAGTTGCTGGCTGGGGTTAAACCACGACAGTCCATTTTGGCGCCCAATGTGGGGCACGAACGGTTGAGATAATAATGGATCTGACCAGAGTGTATTAAAACAAATTTGATACAAGCATTCATTATATTAGTTTAATAGTCACTGGTCACAATGTCAACTTATGAGCTCTTAGAGTTGTGGCACTCATTTTTAGAGTTCTATTATGTATCACCTCACTTGCTGTATGTAGTCCCTGTCCTGCTGCTTATCCTCTGTGGGAGGTGGATTAAGGTTTTCACTTAGATGTATTGTGTAATACTGGCTTATGGTATGATAAAATTATCAGTCCTGGGATTCATCTGGTATTTGCACTCAGCATTGTCGTCACCTGTATATTTCAGGAGCCATCTGTGAGAAACTTAATAATTACAACCTTTACCTTTCCTCCTCGGAGAGCCAATCTATGGGCAAGACACCTTTCTTCCCCGTTCCCTTCTCTTCCAGTCTAATTACAATAGCATTTGAGACTTTTGAAAGATTTCAATACCCTTAGGATGTTGAAACCAGCATGGTCCACTTGCTAGGAACTAGCATGTTCCTGAATGTTGTTCAGGTCTTGTTTAGGGTTAAACAACTATTTAAGAATGTCACCCAGAGATCTGCCCTGAGGCTGGATAATTATGAGTGGCAGGGTGTGTGGGATAGTATGGGCAAGTACCTAAGACAGTGGGCACTCCATTGTTCTGGAACTTTACTCCTGAACAAGTGCAGGATCCTGAAAAACTAGTAAAATATTTGGAAAAAGTATGATGTCACCCTGGAAATTACAGAGGGACACAAATCACTGCAACATGCTGGGGCCTAGTGCATGCCTGTCAAGCCCTGTTCAACACCACTCACTACCCTCAAGGGGAAGAGAAGGTCTCTGGATCTAACAACAAGGTGACAGGCACCACGGCCCCTCCAACCCTGGCGACAG